AGCTAACAGTATCACTAACACCTAAGGAAGAATGCAAGCATCTGCAGGCAGTCGCCATGCAGCTTCATGTGTCAGCAATCGCTACAGAGGAAACACAGATCCGGATCCAGACTCTCTGCATTCTTGCCAGGAAATGATTTTCAACTATTTTGTTTTAACACCTTCACCCCTGAATTCTTTGTGACCACAGCTCAACTCAGGGGCTAAAATACACCTATTCATGCCTTTGTAAACCTACATGTGTTTATAATTTGGGATTGCTATGTAAAGGCACACTTTTCTATTTATCTTCAAGTCAAGCAGCTGGACCATTTGAATGGATTGGCTTCTCAACACCAGGCCTTTAAGACGCACAAGCTTGGGTTCCAGGCATGGAAATTCTGCTGGCTGCCCTTCTCAGATCTCTATATGGCCCCTACTAATGCAGACTTCTCAGTCAGTAGATGGTCAGTGGCCTGTCAACCCCCTGAGAAAATACAAACCAACCTCGAGGTCTTCTTTGAGGGATTCTCTACCTTGTCTTTCTCTCTTTCTTTTTCTTTCTTTCTTTCTTTCTTTCTTTCTTTCTTTCTTTCTTTCTTTCTTTCTTTCTCTTTCTTCCTTCCTTCCTTTCTTCCTTTTTTTCTTTTTCTTTCTTTTTTGTTTGTTTGTTTTGTTTTTTTGAGACAGAGTCTCACTATGTAGTTCGGTCTGGCCTTAAACTCCCTATGTAGACCAGGCTGGCCTCTAACTCACAGTAATCCTCTTGCCTCAGCCTCCTGAGTGCTGGGATTACAGGTGTGAACTACTATACCTAGCTCTGTCTTCTCTTTCTTGACTGTCATGAGTATCAGGACAAAGATAATGTCATGTGAAAAATATACTCACAGAAAAGGCTGCATCTCTGTCAACCCTAGATGGTCTTTACCATCTTCAAATCTAGTATTTCTTTGGAGTTCCTATCCTCTGCTCCCCAAAAGATAATTAATTTCTTTTAATTTCAAACTGTTTGTATTGAAAATCTTCAAAGTTCCAAGAACAGTACCATGACATGTGTCCTTTATTTAACATTTTATCAAATTCCTTCCATCTTTTATATTCCTCTCTCCTTCCTTCCATCTCTTTCTCCATGTGTATATAAAATTGAACACTATAGACAGTCTTTTTGCTGAAATTAGTTGTATACATCATGACATTTCATCATTAAATATTTCAGCATGTGTTCTTCCTAGGATCAAGAATATTTCCTGTGAACTACCAGATTATTATCACATACAGGGGATTCAATACTGTGCCCATTCATCACGATTGTCAACTTGGCTGGATTAAGAAATGCCTAGCAGATTAGTTAAGTACACTTCTGGGTGTGTCTGTGTGGGTCATGGAGTGTGGCCGTGGGACAGTATGTGGTCCTTGGTTCCATCCTTTCTGTGCTGTTCCCCTATTCTGCATTCTGGATATGAATTGGGGAGGATCCCCATCCCCTGCCCCATGTACCTCCACCATGATGTTTCTGCCTTGGAGCCAGCTGACCATAGACTAAAATCTCTTCTCTTTAAGTTATGGGTGTTGGAAATTTTGCATAGCAACAGGAAATCTAACTAATACAAAAACCAAGAGAGTATTACTGTCTAATATGCAATTGTACTCAAATTTTTTCAGTTGCCCTAATGATCTCTATTATAGTTGCTTTTTTCTCAATCAAGGACCATCTACTGCCTTTGGCTATCATATCTCTTTAGTCACCCTTCATCTACCACAGTTTTCCAGCCTTTCGGGGATGGAGGAGTTTCTTTTGATAACATTAACAGTGTTAAAGGGTATTGGCCAGCTGTTTTGCAGGATGTCCCTGAATTGGGACTTTCCTGATTTGTGTCTTCAGAACTGTGATTTCTTAGTGCATTTCTAGAAATCTTATGTCACTTTGATCATGCCCAATTAACTACTTAAAGCCACAGTGTCTTAACATGAATTCTGAACTATTTAAAGCCCTCTAATTCGAATTTGTTGCCAAAAATTGTTCAAAATCTTAGTCCCCAAAGTAAGCTGACTTTCATCTTTCTTGTGTATTAACTCATTTTCTCCTATATCAAGGGATGCTATCTGCATTGAAAGATCATAACAATCACAAATACTAAAAGATTTCACACAGTTGGTTTTGTGTTGGATGTTGGTAAACAGAATTTTGTCAAAAACAGCAAGAGAAGAGTATTATATGCATAAGAAGCATAAGAGAAGGCATCATACATGGGAATGAACAGTGTTTGAGGCACAGCGAGCCAACTGTACTAGCCCAAGAAAGAGACAAGGACAGCCTGTTCCAGGGCAGTGGCCAAGGAGATGGAGATAATTAGAAGGACTGGAGTAAGTTGCCAAGTGCTCTGGTGGCATGCCTAAGATGCTTGTAATGACATTGGGCAATAGGTGGGTGGAAGTGGTCATCTGAGTCTGATTTGAATTTGTTGAGTTTGAGGGGCCTGAAAGGCATCTAGAGAGAGCTGTCCAGCAGGCAGATCTACAGGCCCAGAGTTGAGGGGACAGCACTGGGTGAGGAGTGCTGATTTGGGTCAGGGTTACAGAGAGGTAGTCAAGAAGACAGACGAGAACATGGGCACAGAGGGTCTCCCCTCAGCCTACTGGTTTGAAGAGAGAACCCTGAAAGTTATGAAGGGGGATATGGCAGTTCTGTTTCCTGACAGGTCCCCAGCTAGTGTACTCATTTCTGAAAAGGTTGATCTGAAGGTAACTGGAGGAAAGAAAAAGGAGTTGGTCAAATTTGTAGATTCAGGATCCTTCATAAATGGGCAGTAATTGACCATATTTGGGCAAGCACTGTCTAAATACTAAAATGCTGAACTCTAGTAATATTTAACACACAAATATTAAGTATGGGCTAAAGATAATAAGTCAGTACAGAAGATATAAGTGGCATAAGATGAGGGTAACTGGAGAAATGTGAGTTAGAAAAGGATAAGGAAAAGGAGAAACGATAGAAAGGAGAAGGGAAACCCAAATGAAAAGAGGAGCAGGATTAGAGGTCAAGTACGTAGATGGGAGGAGTGTGACTGAGGTGCCCTTGCTGGCTTGCTGGCATCACATCGTCTGACTCCTCCACAAGTAGAGACAATATTTACATGAGATATTTGATATTTACATAAGAAATTATGTAAGTGTAAGTGCATGTATCCCAAACCTGCAATTTTACTACAATTATTTATGATTCACATTTTAATCTACAGTGTCAAAACCCTTTTCCCTCTAATTACTGATGCAGAGCTCCTTGCTTCTGATCACAGAGATTTCCTTGGGGTCTTCCTTGACTTTCTGCTCTTGTAATATGAAACCCCAGGGCCCACAGTCAGGAGATGCCACAGACTTGGGGCCAAATAGATATTTGCCAGAATCATTAAGGCCGAGCCTTTAACATTTGGAAAAAATGGATTTAATAAAAAGTTCTGAAATAATTAAAGTAGGTACATAACTAATATATATACTATAGCTAAAATCTAATATGTATACCTATAATGCCCATATATTATCATGTAAAATTATTCGAATCCATTATGCCTAAATTTATGTATCTATCCATCTATCTATGTGTTAACTTACTTGGCTATATGATTCTGACAAACAAAATTAGAAGGATTTATAATGACTGATCACTAGCTCACTACCAACCAATATTGGAAATCAAATACATACACAGAAATAGCAATTTGTGAAATAAACAAAGCATCTAATTCATTCAAGTTGCTGACATTATGTGCCCCACTACTGGATCCCCACAGTTGTCAAACACAATCGGGTTTTGTCACATCTAATCTTAGTTATTCATTGTAACATGGCTGAAAAACTTTAAAACAATCACAAAGGTCTATGTAGGATCCTGCCTAAATTCCTGACATTTTTCTCATTGTTTTCTGCAAAAACACTTGCACAGAAGGCGATCATAATAGAAACAATCAGTGAGTCACTACCAGGCCACATACACCCCCAGCTTGGTATGCACACGTGTGTGCGCACATGTACACGTGCAACAGGTTTTTTCCAGAATTAAAAGTGGATTGTCTTCCTGATCTCCCACCTTTTTCCTTTTTCTTTTTGTGCGGCTCAGGGGATTGAATCCAGAGCCTCATGCAGGCCAGGCAAGTGTTCTACCACTGAGCTAAAGCTGTTTTTTTAATATTTGTTTTGAGGACAGAGCCTAAATTGACCATGTTGACCTTGAACTTAGTATTCCTCCTGCCTCAGCCTTCCAAGTAGCTGTGATTATGGGTACATGGCATGCCTGGCGTCTTTTTCCTTTTTCAACACACAAGACAACATCAATTAAATAATTAAAGTGAATTGCCAGAAATTACATATCAACACATGAAAAAATCTTGCTTCTAATGATGTTCTATAGTTTTCAGATGAACAGGTTCAGAAGGGCGAAGGATGTGCATAAACAGTCCTCTCGATGACACTGGACCATGTCAGTGCTTGTTACATCTTTAGAATAGTTGGTCTTGCACCAGCGCAAGGACCCGAGTTCAATCCCCAGTACAAAAAAAAAGAATAGTTGGTCTACAAATAGTTAGAATAGTGCTATTTAAACTCAAGTAGACTAAAACAGCAATTATTAAAGTACCACTTTCTCTTGAAATACTCTTTCTCTCCACCTCCCCTGCCCTCTAAAGCCAGGGAATGCAGTGAGGCACTGAAACAAGAAAATGTAATTAAAATCACATTCCTCCCCGGGGGGTCAACCCAATTATCAGCCTCTCACTCCAAAACAAATTTACTCTTGAAGGCCAGAGGACTTTATCACTCATGGAAAAAATACAAACAAAGATTAAGATGCCATTTAGACATCATTGGAATTTTTCATTTTCAAGTGACCTCTTCATTTAATGGATTCAATGCATTCTCATTTAAGTGGGGTATAAATTGCAGGAGAGACTGTCATAAATGGTATTGACATGACCCTTAGGTTAGAGCAAAGGAATATTGGAATATAAATCTCCATTCTGGATACTCACCAATCCTGCAATGGGGGTAGGCAATCTATTGATCTTTTTAACAAGTCCTGGCTTTATTGCATTCAGCAACCTGTCATGAAAAAGGCAGAATGTCAAATGAGACATAAAGCAGGATGGATCACACAAATCACCTTTATCCAGCGCTACAGCTAAATTGCTGAATAGGAAAAGCAGTGAATTTAAAGCATGTAGTAAATCTCAATAACCTACCAGCCTTCGTGCATATAACTGAAAACCTTTGCCAACATCGAGTTTGTCCATGACAGGTGGAGTTTTAGATTTGGAAATGTTAGCAGAGGAGAAAGGTAATGGAGTAGGAAGTGCTCAAAGGGAACGGACAAAGACATAAGCCGGATTGAGATTGGAAGGGAACTGCCTAGAATGGGATGCAGGTATTACAATGCATACAAGGCTTGTTGCCAATTCTCCTGGCTAAGGCCGGGATCTCTCCAGGGATTAAGTAATTCTGGAGACCAGCATCTATCTTTGCAAGTGATTTTCTAAGGCAGATCTTGCCTCCAGACCCTATTTGCTTTTGAGGAGAGTAGCTTGTTAAATGCAGTTGAGCTTCACCTAAGAGAAAACTATACTTAGTAAGAGGTTAACCTATTATATCCTAAAGATTTTAAACAAGACTGGCCACAATTCCTGAGGTACAAAAAATATTTGAGCAAAGGATTTTTCAGAATAAGGTTAAAATCATATAAGAATGGTGATACAAGGAAAGGAATGCAAGAGAAACAACTAACTATAACTGCTTGTCTTTGGGAAATACAAATTCAGAGTAAAGAAAAATAAAGGCAAATTTATAACTAAAATATGATTAGCATCAGGTTAACATAGTGGACTGCAGTATTTGTAAAATAGGTTATTCATGAAGGATGAATTGAAAGTAAGAGGTTGTATACTCTTGGATAATCAATAGGTCACAGAAGAGATTAAAAAATAAATAAGACAATTCCTAGAATTAAATGACAATGCCAGTACAGTGTACCAGAACTTTACGGTACACAATGAAAACAATCCTAAGAGGGAAGTTTATAGTTATGAATGCCCACATCTGAAAAAAAGAGAGCAAGCCCAAATAAATTACCTAATGATACACCTCAAGATTCCAGAGAAATAAGAACAATCTGAATCTAGAGCTAGTACAAGGAAGGCAATTATAAAGATCAGAGCAGAATCAATGAAATGGAGACAAAACAATCAGTGAATTGAACAGCTGGTTCATTGAAGAACAAACAAAATAGATAAACCCTTACCCAATCTTACCAAAAAAAGAAAAAAAAGACAAAAATCATTTCAGTTAGAAACAAAAAAGGTAAAATCACAATAGACACTGCCAAAATCCAGATTATTACCAACTACTTCATGAACCTGTATATCAATAAACCGTAGAATTCAGAAGAAATGGAGATTCCTAGATAGATATGAATTACCAAAATTGAACCAAGAAGACTTAAATATCCTGAGTAATCCAATAACAACCAATGAAGCTGGGGCAGTAATAAAAAAAAAAAACTATCAACTAAGAAAACCCCAGGACATGATGGATTCACTGCTGAATTCTACAATGATTTCAGAGATGATCTAATGCCAATACTTCTCAAATTCTCTAATGAAAGTGAAAGAGAAGGAATACTACCAAAGTCACTCCTGGAAGCTAGCATTACCCTGATTTCAAAACCAGACAAGGATCAAAGCAAAAAAGAGAACTATAGGTCACTCTCTCTAATGAATAGAGATGCAAAAATCCTCAGCAAGACACTGGAAAACAGAATGTAACAAATCATCAAAAAGATCATACACTATGACCAAGTAGGCTTCATTCCAGGGATGCAAGGATGGTTCAATGTACACAAATCAATACATGTAATTTATTACAATAATAGAAGGGAGGACAAAAATCACATGATCATCTCAATAGATGGAGAAAAAGTCTTTAACAAAATCCAACATTCATTCATGATTAAAACCCTGAAGAAAATAGGTACAAAAGGATCTTATCTAAATTTGATAAAAGCCATTTACAATAAACCTACTGCCTACACCATAATAAATGGAGAAAAACTGAAAGCTTTCCCTCTAAAATCAGAAACAAGACAAAGATATCCACTATCACTACTCCTGTCTAACATAGTCCTTGAAACATAAGCCAGAGCAATCAGGCAAGAGAAAATAAAATAAAAGGGATATATGAAAGAAAGGACGGAGTCTAACTATCATTATTTGAAGGTGATATGATCCTCTATTTACAAGACCCAAAAAAATTCCAGTAAAAGACTTCTAAGAATTAATAACCAAATTCAGCAATGTAGCAGGATACAAATGCAACACAAAGAGCAAACAGCATTTCTATACATTAACAATGAATTCACTAAAAAAGAAATCAAGAAAATACCATTCACCATAGCATTAAGAAAAATTGAGTACTTAGGAATTAACCTAACCAAGGAAGCAAAAGACCTCTACAAGAAAAGTAACATCACTCTCAAACAGGAGACTGAAGAGGACATCATAAAATGGAAAGATATCCCATGTTCTTGGATGGGCAGAACCAGGATAGTCAAAATGGCCATAATTCCAAAATTGATACATAGATTTAACACAGTCCCAATCGAAATAGCCACAGTATTCCTCACAGACCTAGAGAAAACAATTCTAAAATTCACATGGAACTAGAAGAAACCGTGAATGACAAAAGCAATTCTGGGTAATAATAGCAAAGCAGGAGATCACAATTCCAAATTTGAAATTATATTTAAAAACTACAGTGATAAAAACAGAATGATACTGCCACAGAAACAGAAATGTGGATCAATGGAACAGAACAGATGTAGCAGAAACAACCCCCCGATAATTCAATATTTGATCATCAACAAAGGGACCAAAAACATACACTGAAAGAAAGATAGCCTCTTTGATAAAAGATGCTGGGAAGACTGGATATCCACATGCAAAAGACTGAGTCTAGATGCATATACCTCACCATGCACTAAAATAACATCAAAATGGATCAAAGATTTAAATGTTAAAACACAAACAATCTGCTGGAAGATAAAATAGGTAAAAATCTTGAAGACAGGCATAGGCAAGGACTTTCTGAACAGAACCCCAGTGGTACGAGAAACAATACTGCGAGTCAACAAATGGGATCATACCGAATCAAAAAGCTTCTGTACAGCAAAGGAAACAACCTAGAGAGAAGAGACAACCTATAGAACGGTAAAAAAAAAAATTTGTTAGCTGTTCCTCAGAGGACTAACATCAAGAATACATAAAGAACTCAGAAAAATTAGATCCCCCCAAAACAAAAGACCCAATTAAAAAATGGGTCTCTGAAATAGATGCTGTCCTGAAAAAGTACAGATGGCTAATAAATACATGAAAAAATGTTCGACTTTGCTGACCACTAGAGAAGTACAAATTAAAACAACATTTTAATTGAGATGCCATTTTACTCCAGAGAGAGTGGCCACGAAATCAAATAATAACAAATACTAGTGAGGCTATGAGAAAAAATGAATCCTTTCACCTTGTTGGTGGGAATGTAAACCAGTACAACCACTGTGAAGATCAATATGGAGATTCCTCAAAAAACTAAAAATAAAAATTCCATTTGACCCAGGTATTCCCCTTCTAGGTACAGTATCTTCCCCAAAGTGCTAAAGCCATCATATTATAGTGATATATCCATACACATGTATGTAGCAGCACAATTTATAATAGCTAAATCTTGGAAATAGCTTGTATGTCCATCAATAGATGAATGGATAAAGAAAATGTGGTATTAACACATAATGGACTACTCCTCTGTCATAAAAAGGATAAACTTGAGACATGTGTAGGTAAATGTGTGCACCTTGAGACCACAATGTTAAGTGAAATAAATCAGACACGCAAGTTTAATATTGTATGGCTTCTCTTATATGAGAAACCTAAAATAGAAATAAAGAGCAAAGTAAAGGATAGATAATAGAAAGTAGGGAAATCTTTTTTAAATGGGAAGGGGAACAAGAGATAGAAAGGAAGAGGGAAGAAGAGAAAAGGATTAAAAGAAAGAGAATAAAAAATGGAAATAGTGCTTTTGCAAATGAGAACAGGGTCAAGAATTGGAAGGGACAGGGAGGGATGGAAGGGAGACAAAAAAGAATTAAGATGTTGTGCCGGGGATTTCTCTCAGTGGTTTCGCCGCCTGCTGCGTAAGAGCAAGGACCCAAGTTCGATCCCCGGTACCAAAAAAAAAAAAAAAAATTAAGATGTGTTATGTGCACATACAAATGCCACACGATAAATGTAGTCACTATGTACTGCAAATATGTAGTAATAAAATATATAATTTTTAAAAAGAAAGATTGGAGAATGGAAGCATTTATTTCAAGAATGGAGAGTAGTTAAGTAACATGTCTAGATACCAGGCAAAAAGAAACGATTCAAGGGTCAGCAAGCTATAATATACTGGCCAATGTGGCCCAACCCCTGTTCTTGTCAATAGTTTTATTGGTACCCGGCCATGCATTTTCGTATGTATTATCTTTTCACTTATGTATTATTTGCAGCTATTTTGTGCTACAACAGCAGATTCCAGTAGTTACGACAAAGAATATATGCCCACAAAGCATATAATCTTTATCATTCTACTCTTTACAGAAAGTTCACTGACTTCTGCTGTAATTTGTGCAATCCAAGATTAATGTAAATCTCGCAGGATGTAGACGGGATAGATTTCTACAGGTCAGTAAAAGCAATTCTTTGAAATAGTTTGACACCACTGTGCATTAACACATTGAAATGTCGTTAAGGTAATACGTCAGTGATGATAGAAAATGGTGTGATATTTGCATATAACCTACACACTCCTTCTGTATATTGTAAGTCATCTCTAGATTGCTTATAGTATTTATTAAAGTGGAAATACTTACAGTGTGTAAATAGCCATTTTCCTGTATGACTGTATTTTTTAGAGGGTAATGACCAAAAAACTGTTACCTGTCGAGCACAGATGCATTTAAAAAATTTTTTGTGTGTGGTTAGTTGAATCCATGGATGTAAAGGACCAACTGTATGTCT